CCTCCTAAAATAAGTTCATTTGCATTCACAAAATCATTACCTCTAAAGCCATTATCACTACTTTCCTCATGTAAATAGGTTTATCATAAAACTCATCCTTAATAGCATTGCATTTGTTCTCAGTAGGCACATGTACAAAGATTTTGAGACGTACTCATATCCAACTTTACAGATTTTTCATTTACAGGTTTGAAGTATATAATTCTGTCTCTTATTTTCCTAAACATTAAAAATCCTACTCCAAAGCAGTACTATTTGTCCTGACAGCTATCTAAAAAACACTGCATCTTCTTTTATCCAAAATTCCTTAACCAAGTCATCTGATCTTCTGAATGGCCAAGATATCCTAATTATAATTCTCAAACATATCAACCAGATTTTTTTAAGTTCTCCACCCTAATACAGCATATGCGCATATTCTAAGTACCAATACGCAAGTTCATTGTCACTCCATATTGTTCATGATGCTCAACTCCCAATATGGAAGACCAGTCCTCAGATATAATCCCCAGGGGCAGATGCCTGGCTATACTCCCAGATGCTGGGTACCCATTTTAGTTACCTCTTACATGCATGAGTTACATTAGGACTACTCTCTCCTGCCCGGTCACCACAAAGGTAAAAACTCAACATTAATGCCACAAAATTTTTTAAATTGGTATATCCTGAAAATTCTTGATAAAGTGTTGCTACACATTTTCAGTTAATCTATATTTTAGGGTGCCCCTTGGATTATAGTCAAGCTGTTGTTTCATTTATCGCCAAATTGTTGTTTAATTTATGGTAACCTCAGTAGATGAAAATGTTATGGAAACCCTATTATGACATGACTGGTTGCATGATTGCGATGAATTTGATTGATGGGAAAATATTTGTAAGGGCTTATTTCTGCGTTGGATGTCAGTTAGGAAGTACGTTGCTTATTTTGTGCTGTACACCATAAAATAGCTGTATGTGATGAGATTAATCTGAAGTTTCTGTACGATTTGGAACAAAAGGGGAAAAAAGTATTAATTGACTTGTGTGTATATGAAGGTTTACTTAGTAGTCATTATAAATGTTCTGTTTGTACAAAGGAAATGCATGTGGTCAAATGTAAAGATCATTCAGATGTCTTTGAATGGGTTTGTTGCAAGAAATGCCACCGATAGTCCGACACTATTGAGGATATTTTTTACTCTTAATTTGGCTTAAAATATATTTTTACCATATTTTCCTATTTTTTCTGTCTTTTTTTTTATTTGCATGTACACTACATTAAATTTAATAGCAAAATCACAAAATATTTAAAGCATTTCTTTAGAATTTTGAATAAAGTGTTGCCTTAATTTTGTTTTTATATTTACTAAATTATTTCTTTAAAAATTGCAAAAGTAGAAAGTAGTAATTTAAAAATTCAAAAATCCTTCATATTAGTGGGGAGCAAATGGTAGCCAACATAGAAGGCATAACTTGAGAGGTCCAATCCTGAAGCATGGTTAAGAAAATTTAGTAATAATTGTTACTAAATGTGAACTTTATTTTAATACTTTTGTTCATCTAATATTTACTTCAGAATTTGCTAAAAATATCAGTAAAAGCATATTTACGGGTACCCCTTGGCAAAACTTGACGATTTTTGACGGTATATGGATGCTGAGTTTGTGCAATTCTTTGACTCATTATTTTGGCTTGTGTAGCGGCGATTTTTGCACCAAAAATCACCGCTACACAAAGCCAATAAAAATCACGGCTGATCTTTAGAATATGGTAACTGGTAGTTTGGCGACATTTTGGAGGCGATAAAGGTTACTACCCTAGGACTTTGGTAATAATGTGAGAAGCACGCAGTTCCGATTACGCATTATTTTGTGTGAGGGAAATGAGAGATCATGAGATATGTCATGTGACATTAATGGACGAATTACAGTTGTTTAATCGGAAAAGGGGAGAAATCTGGAAATTTCGTATTTAGCTATATTCTGTGTTGTGTGAAACGTGACATTAATAGACGAATTACAGTTCTTTAATCGGAAAAGGGGGTTAATTTGGAAAAGCTTCATTGTGTGTTGTGTGAAATAGTGTTGATTAATTTTCGGATTGCATGGCGCTTTGTAAAGTGAATTCTAAATTTTTAATGCGTTTATCTGATAATAATAATAAGTTGAGATTGTGTGAAAGGAAGGATATTACAAGTTTAAATGGCGGTGCAAGAAATATGGTGAAAATGGACATTTTGTGAAAAGGAGTGTAAGGAAGGGTACTTAGTTTGCTGAACGTAGTTTGAGTATAGGTGAAATTTTATTAATTTCTTATTACTTGGTGAATAGAATTCTAGTTGACTACTGGATTTAGGATTTAGAAATTAGCAGTAGTACTGCAGCGACGTAATGAAGATTCTGAAGAAGATTAGGTAAGTTAGTATTTTTAATCATTTGAGGATATTATTTTTATGCATTGTTCTAAATGTAAGGAGTAAATAAATTAAAATGGTATTATTTGAAAATTGTTATTAGCAATGATTTAGTTTAAAGTAATTAAGATTGTAATCTAATTTTTATTAATTTAATGTATGTGCTTATTTATATTTTAAGTAGTGTTTTTAATTTAATTATATTTTAATTTAATGATCGGGATTTGTGAGTTATAGTTTGTAGTATTTTGGAATATATTTGAGTAGTATACGTTGATTTTTCATGCATTTTCGTGAAATTTTCTAATTTATGAGAAAAAAAAAAAAGCAGTGTACATGGATATAGTGAAGAGTGTGCGCAATGCCATTTTTGTGTAATTCTGGATGTTTTTTTAAGTAAAAATAAGTCGACGTGTACATGGTTATGTGTATGGGTTATTTGAAAACGCGTAAGGAGTATGGTATTGTGCACTTTTTCACAATTTTGCAGTGAATATTTGTCATGATTAAGCAGTTTTGTTAGATAAAATTTTTAGCATAAGTGTAATTCGGCTAGTAGATTGTTGGAAGAAGTGTTCAGTAGATAAAAACAAAAGAAACATGTCTTTACTTCGTGAAGACAAAATGGCGGCGGGGAAAAAAAAATAGAGGATTGCTGTAGGAGAGTTGGTCGCCAAAAAATCGCCAAGTTACCATAATGTAAAGATCAACCAAAATCACTTAAAAAAAAAGGGTTTAATCCTAGTATCCGGTGCACAAGGGATTTGGCTACTTTTGGCGACTTTATGATGAGCAGTAAATGGGACATATACGATGAGTAGTTAAACAGTTCATTTTGGTGTTGGCAATAATTTTCAAAATCGTGCCACACCGTATACTAGGATTTTTCGAAAAAAAATCCCAGAACTGCACAAAAATGGCATTGTGCACTCCCTTGACTGTATCCATGTACCTATTTTCAATTGTCCATGTACAACAGGTAGCAGGGTTGACAGCAACCTGCTAGTTTTGTTTTGGACGCCATTTTGTTTTCATGAAGTTTTTTTTTTTTTTTTTTTAACTCAACATTTTTTCCAACAATCTGCTAGCCGAATTACGCTTATACTAGAACTTATATGGAACAAAAATGCTTAATCATGACGAAGATTAGGTGCAAAATTGGGAGAAAGTGCAGAATCGCAACCTGCTTGCCGCGTTTTTAAGGACTGACATACACGGTATCATCCATGTACACGTCGACCTATTTTCAGTTAAAAAAACATTCCAGAATTGCACAAAAATGGCATTTGTGCACACTCTTGACTTTATCCATGTACACTACTAAAGTCCTAGCTAGTAACTTTTATCGCCTTACCAAAATGTCGCCAAACTACCTGTTACCATATTCCAAAGATTAGCCATATTTTCTACTATACAGCTTCAAAAATAATTAATTCTTAGAGCTCACTAAGAGTAATTTGCATGAAAAGTTGAATTTTAAAAACTATTATTTCAGTCTAAGATATTCTTTAATAAACATTTGGTAGTTCCCAATAAAAGCAACTAGCATAGATGCCAACCTTGAAATTTTAGAAACAGAGAGCATTCAAGACGTTTTTACATTGTGCAGCAACACCATTTTAAAGGAACTCCATACTGACTCATTTATTTTGTAATGCATGGTTTAAGTTATCCAATTCTGATGAAAAATATACTAACATTTAGTTGAATATTTTAAATTTTTCGTTCTGTGGCTACCAATTTCATTTTTAAATTTCCTTAAACTTTTATACTAAAAAAATTCTAAGCAGTAAAGGAAAGCTTTTATTTAACAAAGTACTTTTAAATACATTGAAAATAAAATTAATAATTAAAGCACATATTACTGGATGGATTAACTTAGCGATATAACATGTATGGAAATAAACAAAATTAAATACAAATGTTAAGTGATTAAACATTGCTTGAACCTTCATATAAAAATCTAAAAATTTCTACAACAGATTAAGACAAGCAACATCAAATGAAATTTAATAAGAAAAGGTTAATAACATCAATTAAAGATAATAAGAAAAAATACAGTTCGGATGAAATAAAATTTATAAAGAACAATTATTCTGAAAATCCTTAGAGACGGAGGAGTGGAATTAGCCTAATTTAAGTTTCTTTAACTCAATAAATTTGATTTATTGCTGCGAAACATTTTCCTTAGACAAAGCTAAAAATTAAAACCTAGGAAATTCAGTGGTCGCCCCGGAGATCGGAAGACGTGATAAAAAAGGAAGAACTGGCAGTTATGCTTTGGCAATATTTAAAATTTTGTAAAAAAATGTTTCCTATTATGTTGATTAACTATGGTAGCAACTTTAATACGGAAGTAGGAAATATTTTGAACCAGCAAATTCACCTATTCTGATAACAGTTGGTTAATACCCTACTAACATACAAGAATGGCACATTAACAGTGAAAAATCGTAAATTCGGTGTATATTTAAATTTCTGAAAATTTCAACATTTTTAAAAGTATCAAAATTAAATCAAATACTTTCAACATTCAATCACATAAAAAGATATTTTTATTATAAAGAGAAAACGTAAGTTTTAAAGAACGTACAATAGTAACACTTACCATCCTCTTTAATACACGATATTCCTCTAATTAGACACAAGATTGCCCGCCGCCACTTATTGACCACTTTTAAATTTTCATTCTGTGTTTCAAATTTTCGCATTTGAAATGTTAATACTCTTCGTTCACGGCGAAGCTGCTTACTTAAGATGCCAGCCGATGTTTTGAGCGGATAAGAGTAGATACATATGTATGCAGAAGAATCTTCAGATTCATTTTTTAATTTGCTTTTCCCACGGAAAACATGACATCCTACAATATCGCTTAAATCTATCATTTCTACATCAGTTTTGCCTTTCAAAGTAAAATGAATAGTTAAAATCTTTTCTGTCAAACTTAATTCACAAGGAAATGATATAGCAGGATAAGAATAAAACAAATCTTCTAAAATCACTTTTTCTGCTGAACATTTTAAAGCCATCTTACAGTGACCTAAAAAGCAACATTAATTGAAAACGACAAAATAGAGCGGATGTTTACTTCCTCATTAAATTAAATGAAAAATAAATTATAAACATTCAACAAGCTGCCATCGAAAAACTTCACATTACTGCAATTGCTTCTAGATTAAAATTGCATGTGTTATATTGCAGGAACGTTTTTAAAAACCTCACGGAAGCAGGAAAACAGCATCATCTAACACTGCCTATACAAGTTATGAAATAGAACGAAAACAAATTTTCATCAACAAGTTATGTTTTTGTTTTTTCACTTCAGTCTCTTCGCAGTTAATACCGTAATTAAATTGCACATCTGTTGAAAAGTCATATAATCAAAAATAAGCTCCGAAACCACAAATTCGCTTTGAAAAGTATTTACACTTTTTTTTAGATATGAGGAACTGTTTGTTTTTATTTTATTTCTACTGAAAATTATTTATTCACATTTCTGCTTTGTTCGGGTCGTATAGAAGGAATATTTCAACTCAACTTTCCTCTTATGTGTGTTGAAGTTTACCCATAGTTCCATGCGTTGTGGAATTCATTTTTGTGGAATTAGAAGTCAAAAATGGTAAATCTGTTTTCGTCTCTAAATATAAATATTTCTTTAACAGATTACTTCATTATCTATGTGTTTTAGCGTAGAAATATTTCATATCTGTGTTTATTTTTAGGGTATAGACATAAATCATAAATATGACCGGAAAGTTGTCCGACGAGCACCTAAAAGTGATGATATTTATCTTCGGCTTCTCGTAAAAGTGAGTTTTGTTATTTATTATTACATATCTTTCATTTTGTATTGTATATAATAATATTGCTTAAATGTTATGCTCTACATGTGAGTCTAATGAAGTTCCAATGTTTTTGTTCTAATAATATTGTGTATTAATAAAGTGTTGGTGTGATGATATCTGAAATAAATTCACCAGTTTCTTTAAGTTTAAAATTGTGTTAACAAGTGATAAATGACATTCGTCCTAAAAATAGCATTGTTTACAATGGGCAAAAACGTGTGTACCTATGTAGTTTCCGTCCACGTATATACAATTAAGTATATTTCCTCACATCAAAATGAATATGGAAATAATGGAACTTTCAGTTCCAGAAACATATGCACAAGATTGGTGAAAAACGAAAGGCTTTTCATCCGTAGATAACCCGTTGGCACCGTTGCATTTTTACTCGCAAAGCTCGATGAGCCGAGCTGTAAACGTGATTTTTAGTGCATTTAAATTCAAGTTAGCAGACAAAACAGTATATTAAGCATATAGTAGTAAAAATTCACAGATAATAAGCATGTAGATGTAAAACTAACCTGTTAAACGTGATATAAGAAAATAAATTTATTAAATTCAAGTTAACACAGAAATTAATATATCCTTACACCAGCAGTGGTTGCTATTTTGATGACATGGTGAGGCATCAAAACTTTCTGTTCATCTTAGATAATCAATAATTTTTTTATTTCAATTTATCATTATTTATGTCACCACCCGCCATCCCTGAAAGGTTATTTTAGAAAGCATTATATTATCTTGAAAATTTACGCCAAAAAATTGATTTATTCTCATAATTTTAGATGACAATACCAATAGTAAAAATAAAAGCATTATTTAAAATGCACATGCATGTTTTTGCGATCTACGGAAACAAATTATTTTAGAGGGTGGAAACCTCATGTTTCTTAAGAGCTGTTAATAATTAAGAACACAACGTGAACAGCCGTGTTACAAATTAGCATTCATCCCGAATCGAGAACCGGCATTTATCTACGAAAATATTTCTATCTATTCATTGTTAAAAAATTCAAAAAATTATAATAAATAAGAGAAGAATATAAATCTGCAAATGCGAACAACGACAGTCATAATTCAACAAAATGAACGCAAGAAGAATGGTTGCAAACTTCGAACAAGTGAATAGGATGTTGGCGATGTTTACATTTACTGGGTTCTCTGTGGAAGTGCTTCCAAACAAAAACTGGACTTTGAATATAAGATAATGTAATGCTTGATCTACATATAAAATTGTTACTTCCTTTTAGGCATTTATTCCAGTCTCTCTCTCTCTTTTTTTAAAAAAAATTCTTGCACTGATTTTAATCATCCATTTTAGCCTTCTAAAACCTGGCCGAAATTCTCATGATATAGCCTTCAGACCGGGCGATCCGAAACAGTTTGCACCCTCGTTGACATTTTCCTAATGGAATTAGTCCCCTTGCATGGATGCAGTAAAATTTACATGTTTGGCGGACGCTGTCCCGTAGTAGATGGCGGCCTACCAGCGGCCGAGCGGTAAAGTCGCTGAACACTGGTAGTTCCAACCTGGGTTCGTTTCCAGAAGAACGGGCTGGTTGCATGGGTGTTTTCATGTTTTTCTCCATGTGTAACGTGTATACGAGCCAGTTTTCCTCCAACACAAAGGCATCCTCCCCTTAGGCAGATAGCCCTAGGTGCTTTGTCATAATTAATACACCACACACACATGAGTAGATATTGCTAGATTGTGTTTTTTTTGATTTTTGATTTCATTAATGAAGTGTTAAATAAATACTGGCTGCATCCAGTGCGTATTTATTTAGAAACAAAATGTATGCAATATTATATTTCACTCACAATTTTCTGATCAAATTCGGCAATAATTTGTGAATTATAACTTTGTTTTGACACTTCATTTATATTCGCGTTTTCGTATTAGAAATTAGAAAACGAGAACAATTTTACAAAATAAATACGAACTAGCTTTGTAAGTCTCAGGTTGGAATGCGATTTTTTAATAACATTTTCATTAACAAAATAATGGTAATGACTAATTTAATGAAATATAATATGAATTCAATTTAGTGATTAGAATGAGATCATACAATTAGATTTTGAGATGAACTTATAGCAATAATAAAGCTTTGCATTACAATAACAGGTTTTAAATCTGCTTTCTTCAATAATTTTATTATAATACATACCTGCCAACTTTTACGAATTTTTTGTAATTTTTACGAAAATGCGTTTGTCTTTACGATTTTACGATCGTAATCTATTTTTTACAATTTTTTCCTTTTTCAAGTGTTTTTAGTGATTTTTGCTGAAATTTTAAAATTTTTCACCAATTGCATCGTGTTTTACCACCGACTACTTCGAATCAGAACCTGCGGTTTCTCCAACTCGCCGCTTAACCAGCCAAAATGCCGCTTGAACTTTTCTCCCATATTTTCTTTGTGGGCGCCAGATTATTTTTTTCGCGTTTGCTTCACCAGCAAGGCAATTACTGAGCTCGGACTCAGCGAGCATGGATTGTCGAATTCTGTTTGCTACGAATTTTCTTAATACCTCGTTGTTACAAAATAAGTTCAAAAAAACCGTATTCTTAATATTCCAACAAGAATTCAGCCTTGCAACGTGTGCGTGTGTGACTTCATAATAAGTCACGGTGGAAGAAGTGCCATTGTGAAGCATGTTAAGTCTAACTTCGACAACGTCTAACTAAGCATCGACAATGTCAAAGAAAGTGGATGATTTTTTTTCAAATTCAGCTACGAATTCGGATGCCGATGTCATTTTGGCCAAAGTGTTTGTTACTGCATTCCTCATGAACACAATGTGCCGCTAACCTGCCGATCACGCCGGTAAACTTTTCAGACGAATGGTTTCCCCATTCCAAGATGCTCAGAAATGCTGTGCTGCACGAAAACATCTTCTATTGTGAACCTTGCTGTGAGCCCAAGTAAACGATAGCTGTATCAGAATTCAGCATTTTCGGTGTCAATCATGGCAGCAACGACAGCGATTGGAAGTTTACCCTTGTTGTCACATATTCTGTGATGTTTCTAATGAACATGAATCATCTTTTGCGTCTTTCCTTGTTAAATGGGACGCTACGAGGGAAAAATATGCCTCTTTGTAATTAATGAGTTGAAACACTTACCATCCCATATAAAACAGAATTTCATTTGGTGCAGATAATGTCATGTCGTGGTGGGTGACAAAAGGGTGTAGCCTCTTTCCTCAAAAAAAAGACAAATGGATTGTATTGGATGCCCATGCCCTTAATTATTTGGCGAAGAAAAATTTGCAGCTGCTTTACATTAAATATTGACCGCTCTATTGATGTGTTTTCTATCTGGGAAAAAAGTGAAAAAACGGTGGTTTGTGCTCTGGAAAACCCTGGAATTTCGGGGATTTTCTGGGGATCGTCGTTCAAAGAAAGGAAATATACTGAATTATTTATTTATCTGGTAATTTTGTTGCTTCGAAGCAGAAAGTGCAAGGTCGTGGTGGTGAATCTTTCCTTTCTTTCTCCAAAGGCAGTGATAATGCTGAAAAGGGGAAAACTTATTTTTTTGTTCTTTCCTTATTGCGAGTTATGACTCATTCCCCCGGTTCCGAACATTCTCTTCTGGATTTTTCGGCAAATAGGGGCGGCAGAAAAAAAGGAGAGACTTCGTTCGACCAGATGGCGATCACGTGACTCTGGTTCAAAGGTCTCTCTTCCTGGCGTGGAGCCAAAAGTAGAGAAGGGATTTTGCGGTATACTATTTGTCATTGATCGCTTAAAATTTTCGTTTCGTTTATTGAAATTTTTTTTAATTTTGTACGCAAGAGAATTTTCAATGAATTCTCGATATAAATAGTGAATTATACAATTAGAAAAGGTGTCCGAATGCATTTAGGTGGAAATTGAATTGAACGGGAAGATGGTGATGGGGATACCATCGGCACATGGTGCAAGAAAATAAATGTTTACTGGACAAGCATATTGTTTTTTGTAACCCTGCTGAAGTATGGTGGGGAAGGATTCAAGGCTTCACAAATCATTCTAAAACTGTGATGCACGTAAAGATTCAAAGTGCATTAGACATCAATGACTTTAAGTCATTATGCTAATTCAAAAAATACTGATGACTTACGGAGACTGATGTTCGGCCATTGATCTAGTGACAGAAAAGCAGCAAGAAGGTATTAAAAATTTTTCGCCGAGAACCTCTCTTTCTTCAATGTAGCTCCAATTTAATTGAACTCTGCAAACAGTTGAGCCGCGATCAAAGGCACTAAAACTCGTTGGAAAATGTCCAGGACTACTGCATGTTATAAAATGAAATATGGGCTCGCAAAAAGTATTAAGGAAATATCATTAAACTAAAGGGAGATCCTTTTCTAAATTTGGATGAAAGTACTAGCAAGCTCAAGAAAGTATACTGGCAATATTGGTGCTGTTTTATGCCAACAATAAAATGAAGTTGTAGTTCATCATTTGGCATCTCTAAATGGAATCTTGAATTCAGAAGCTGTTTTAAAGCAGGTGTTAATACTGTTGAAGATACATATTATTCCATGGGAAAACTTAATTAGTGTTAATGGATCATGTAACCCCATGTGTGGACAAAAAAAGGGTGTGAAACCGACTACAATAAACAAAGCACCCCATATTAGATATTGATGGTGACACATGTCACCAGCTAATAATGCAAAAAAAATTTGCTTCATGTTTTGATAGTACTTAGAAATTGGTGGTGGAATCTATTTTGAATGAAAAGCTGCAGTAAAGTGAAAATGTTTCAAAATGGTGAATCCCTTGCCATTAAAAAAAAATTAAGCGTTGAAGAAACCAGACCAGGGGGTGTACTTTTATGTGTTTTAAAAGAATCAAAAATCTGTGGGATCTCTTATTGCATTTTATTTTCACTACTTGGAAAATTGATAAAGGGGATTATTTTTCTTATGTGAAACTGTTACAATAAGAAATATTTCTGCAGCTAGAAAAAATTGTTGAGGGTGTATCTTGCTTGCATTCCCAACTCACAAAGGATGCTTAGTTCGGAAAAAAGAATATAAATGGGGTTTTGCTTATGCAAAAAAAAACTTATTGCATATGGCATTATATTCGCATTACAGGTTAACACATATAAATTATTTAAACAAAAGAAATGCTTCATTTAATACATTCCAGTATTTATAAATTGATGGCAAAATTTTTCTCTTTTTTATGAAGCCAGAAAATATAGAGTGCACATCTTATAATGATTTTTAAAGGGTTATGTCCAATCCAGAAATTCCATCTACCTAGCAAAGTAATATTTACTGGTGCAGAAGCTTCCCCTCCTGAGAAATTATCAAAAATCATCCATAGCAAAGAATTCCAAATTTCTGATGAAGCTTATACTAATACACACAGGCATATGAAACAGAATACCCTTAAAATCATATCTAATAGTTTAGCATAGATACAGAGCTAAGAGGTAAAACGAGTACATATATATTTGAAAAAATATCATCTTTATGTCCCATATTTTAGTGATAATGAAAAAGTCAAAATTAAGCTGAAATAAGGTTTCCAGGAGTGATATTGATATCACCAAAGAAATGCTCTACTCATTGATGAAAGTGGAAATTAAGTTGTACAATTGATAATATTGGTCTAAAGTTTTTAATTTAAAATATGATTCACAAATGATTAAGTATCCTACATGGCTAAAATGTCAAAGCCTCCTTAGCTGCTTCCATGGCCTATTAGTGGAAAGTGGTTCAAACTAATGGATACCTTGTCACGACTATAGAACCTCTATTAAGATGATTCCTATATGCAGTGCAGACTTAAAATGATTTAATGGCTTCCTAAAAAACTCATGTGAAAAATATAGCTAAAAAACCAGTGACTCATCCAATTCCAAAGATCTACTAAAAACAAGTGGAAAACATATCAAGAGGACTTAAAAACATGTATTCAGCGATACCTATAAAGTTTCTGAAAACTACATTAGCAGAAAAGCAAACTGCGTCTACCTCTGCATGTGCAGTTCTCGAGGAAATTTCTTCAACTGTAAATGAGGAAAATAAAAGTCAACCTTCCTGCAATTATGAAGTTCACCACAAAAGACTGAAAATTTATGGTTATTAATTTTGCAAAAAAAGTAATTCATTGAACTTTTATAATTTGGTCATTCAATACTTCATAATTGTAATTTTTCATTTCTCTCCCCCCCCTTCTCAAAACTCCAAAATGTCGGTAGTAAGTCCCTAAAAGTTTCAGGGGATTTTTTGGGGTCCCACAAACACCCTGAAAAAGGAAAGGAAACCTAAAGTTTTTCCAACACTGTGCTCTGGTGAAACGAGAAAAATTCTGAAACATGTATGCATGAGATGGTTATCCTTAGGCAGAGCGAGGAAGGTTTATTGAACAGGGGATGCATTGCTAAAAATTTCCACGAAGAGACCAAAACGAAACCACAGATCCCCATCAAATTTGTCAGTTATAAGATTCGAAAACCAACTTTGCTTCTAATCAAATGCTTTAAAAGGGAAAAGCCAACACACAGAATCAAACCTTTAAAAAGAAAATGCTTGAAGACTCCTTGAAGGTCAACTTGTGAAAGAAGTTGAAGAGAAGAAGAAAAACAGTTTCTATTAGCCGGGAGGAAAGGATTTTCTATCTTTTTTCTTCGAATTTGAACAAAGATATTGTAGTTTTGTGTTAAGTACCATTAAGATTTTTTGAAAGTTGTAAATACCCCTTCTACAGTCAGCTTCACCAAAATCTCCCCTGCTTTTCCAAATTCTTAATGATCTTTTGAAAGAACTTATACTAAGTTTGTAAAACCGTCCATTGTGAAAAACAGTGTGTTGATTCGTGTTGCCTATAATAGTTTGGCAAATCAAAGTATGACAATGATCTTATAATTGGAAATCAAAACCAGGGAACTTGAAATTCTTTTAAGATCATGAGAAAAAAGAATTTTTTCAACGTGTTAGAAAGTACTTTTCCTCAGCCTGTGATTACATTGTAAGGCAGTTTCCTTTGCAAAATGAAGTTCTTTTAAATGCTGAAGTGGCAAATTTGAAACAAATTGAAAATTCATCTTTGAAAAGATTGTTTTTTTATTGATAAATTTCCATTTTTGTTAACAATCAAGAAAATGAATGCCGTAATGATGCTTTAGATGAACTACAGAACCAATTTCTGCTGCCACAGTTTGAAGACTTTGCCAGTTCTGGAAAGATAGACTTGTTGTCCTCATTGGTACCTTAAAAGAATAAAAAGAGCTGATGGAACACCAAATATGATAGACTAGCAAGAGTTTTATGTGCTATTTTCGTAATTCCACACAGTAATGCTAAATGCAAGAGAGACTTCAGTGTTGTGAAGAAAAACAAAACTATGTTTCGTTCTTTAATTTCACCAACAACTCTAGAAAACATTGTAATTGCTAAGTGTTACGAGGCAACTAATTGTTATGACAGGAAATTTTCCAAAGAATTTTTGGCTAAAGCCAAAAAATGCACTCTAAATTCATTGCAATAATTTTTTGTGTAACATTAAATTCTTGTTTTATGTTTCCTAATAAATTTTTTAGTTACTACTTAATTGAGATTTACTAATGTAAGTACAATTTTCTTTTTTCTATTTGTATAAATTGTTATTTTTTTAATATCAAAGCATGATATTAATTCTTCGTGTTCTTCTGAATTTTGGAGAAATCTTCTGAATTTTTATCTTTAGAGGTTGGCAGGTATGGTCATGTAGTTTAATATGAATTTGGATGAACGCACCTGGTTGTCGGAAAAGTTTCTCTCCAAACGAAAGTATGTAATATTATCCAGTGCTTTTAATACAAATTTTAAACTCCTTGGTTAATCTTTCTGTATATTTTCACAAATTTATTGTTTCTTCTGTTTCTGCAAACTAATTTTAAAACACATATACTGCCAAATAAAACATACAGGCAACTTTATACAAAGGTAAAGTAATTTTCGTACCTTTCCTATTGCCAAATGGCATCCAAAATCACTCTGAACAAAATTTATACTGTGTGTTACATACAAATGCTTAAATCCTTGTATTTATCATTCTTTCATGCTGAAATATTTTTAATGCATATGTATATCAATAATAATGATTTTTAAATATTTTCTTTTGTCTGATTATTGTATTTCTAGCTGTATCGTTTCCTTGCAAGAAGAACTGGAAAGAAATTCAACAAGATAGTTTTGAAGCGTATGTTTATGAGCAGAATTAATCGGCCTCCATTATCCTTAGCCAAGTTGGTTAGTATTTTTTCCCCTCTAGCTATATTCATTGGAGGGTTTTTTTTTTAACATAGTCCTTTCATTGAATTAAAATGTCCGTCTTTAGTTACATAATCATGAGCATACACGGAGCAGATTTTTCGGAAGATTGAAAAATGTGTTACAGGTGTGAATATATTTTTCTTTTAATGATAGAGCACACATTGATAAATATATAAGGCTACTAAACATAAACTGTTCTTTTGCAGGGTGAGTATAATGCATAAATGTGATGTAAAACAAAACAAACTGTTCTTTAGAAGGAACTTTGACTGCCCCTCCCCCCCCTTTTTTTTTAAATAATGAAAAGTTATATTTGGGAAATATAACTCGGAGTTGTGGAGAAACAACTTCAGTATTTCTAAATTTTTGTAAAGCAAATGTAAGTGTTCTTGTAATATCTTCAAGTTTTTTTTGTATTTAATGTTAATTTTTTGTACTAGAATAATTGCAGTTGGTGATAATATTTGTCTTATATTGTAAAGTTTTATTGGTGGAAAAGAAAACCCATATCACACAGCAAAGCATGAAATGCAACTGCCGAGTTTTCCTAGAAATAAATTTTCCCAGAACTAGTTTTTGAATTTTATGTTTTATGGATATTCAGTATGACATTAAGAGGAAAATTGCATTTGATGCTGTGTTTTCCATAGGTCTTTTATTCAAAATGAGAGTGGGATAAGTGTCGAAGAGACAGTTTGGTTATATAAAAAGTGTTTGTGTACCTTTTTGTCTAGTGCCAAGTAAATTTAAAAAAAGGGGTGGGGTTAATATGCATTTAATCTTCTGTATTCCGTGTATATGACAAGTTCCTTGTACGGTCCTTAAAAGTCCTTAATTATTTCATCTGACATTTATGTTTTAAGGTTTTTTTAAGGGGGGTTATGTGTGTGTGTTAACTCTTATTATTATTCACTGAGATGTATATGGGTTATTATTTGAATTTTTTCCCCCTTGATATGGACAGTGTGATTCTTGAATTTTTGAGCACGAGACCCTGCCTGTATTAAAACATTAACATTTTGTAATTATTTCTTTTTTGAAAATAAAGAATTCAAATAATTGTCAGAACAATTTTTCTGTTTTGAGATATTATTTCCTTATGCGGTGTTAAATTTACTGACTTACCAACATTTTGATAATTTCTATAAAAAATTTTGAACTAGAAGATTTGCATATTTTTTTTTTTTGGTTTTTTTTAAGCGAATATAATAAAGTTGATAAATATTAAAACAAGGATAATTTATTAAAATTGTAATTAGAAAACATGAAAATAAAACATTTTATTTTCTCATGTGGGATTTTAAAATAGCATTCTATTTTGGCATAGGTCTATTATATATTTTCAATTTAATAATAATTAAATGATTATTTTCAAATAGGCAAAAATGGTGAAGAAACCTGGAAATGAAAATAAAATTGCTGTTGTTGTTGGCACAGTTACTGATGATTTGAGGTTATATGAAGTACCCAAGTTAACAGTAAGTATTAATTTTGCCACATTGAAGTCTTTCTGTTTGGTTTTATTTTGGAATTTACTGCCATGGACAATTCATTGGAAGCATTTCAGTTTTCCTTACGAGTTCCAGCAAAGAAAATCGAAATTCAAAAATGCATAATGGAAGTCTCAAAAAACATTAATGAGGAATTGAAATGGATTAATTGATGAGAAGTAGAGGAATTATATAAATACTTCATTGATGTAAAATTTTATTTTGTTTGGAACATAGCTCATGGCATTAAATGAGTAAAAGCAAAAGATGATTCAAAACTTTCAGTATCACCGAAATTTTAAGTTTCGTGGTAAAATTTTAGGAGAGCCCACACCCTTTCCGACAAACTGGGAAAGTGCAGAATCGCCCACTGCTTCGCACGTTTCTCAAAATCACCAACTTAAAAATAACAAGTAAAAAAATTGCACAAACTCTGTATCCGTGTACACATCGACCTATTTTCACTTTAAAAAAAATCCCAGAATTGCACATACTCTCCCTTGACTTTCTCCATGTACACATCGATATGCGCCATATAATTGGGCATATCGATTTAACCTGTAAATTTTTTTGTACATATTTGTACCAAAAACAGAGATATCATTATTTCTCTTTTGTGTTTGACTTAACCTGAGATAAATGCTTAAAAAACTATAGGAGAGTAAATTAAATGCCAGAAAAATTGTTTCTGAAAAGCCTTTAAGGTAGCTGACCTCATTCAAAAGGCCGATTTTGATTGAAAAACTCATTTTTTTTAATTTAATATTTATATGGTCATATTCTTAGCTATCAAAACCAACTTTTCTCTTGATATGTTGATTAGAAAGTGAAGATATACTCGGTTTTCTGAGATACAAAAAACAGGCAGTAACTGTCTGCCACACTGGAAGTTAGACTAACTTTTTCACAACCAGTCCGACCCGCAGGGCCCTACATTTTCCAGAACCGCCCGAAAATGGCCGAGATTATAGTCTTGTTTTCCTCCCTCATGCAGTTTTCCCAAATGCATTGTATCAGTGTACTGCAGACGGCTTGTCTAAAAGATTTTGTATCTTTTGGTTGCTTCCGACATTTCATTGTTGAATCTTTTGTGGTACAGTGTGCTTTAAACAGCAATAAAAGTGCATTTTTAAAATTTAAGGATTATATTTATTTTAAATCAATTTATTCCTTCCTATAAAAATAATGGAAATAAACAAAATATCAGTCGTGATCATAACAAAGCCAGAAAGGCTCGTTGGTCTAATCTTCAAAATAGTTATACAGTCAAAAGTCGTTTATCCGGACTCATCGGGACTTCGGCGATTCCGGATTATAGATCATCAGTTTAAATCTGGTAAGATGGCATGCAGAAATTCTAAAGTTAAAAATATGAAAATTTTTGGAGAAAAACTTTCATTACAACTAGATATATTGTTGCATTTTACGGGTTCGTGGATTTGGAGTGATTGATAACAACACTTAACGAAGAATCAAAACACAATTTATTAGCCAGTTTTACTCAAGACAGCTCCAAAAACACATTTACAGTCATAAAAAAACTACGAACAAGCACGCTGAAACAATCAGCATCTTAGGCTTCAGGCTATAAGGGTGAAGACAGCTTCGTGGCTAAGCACTAAAGTACAGCTCCCGACTCGGTTCGTTTGCTCTCGGAGCTCAAGATACTCTTCACGATAAAACTCGCAATACACTGCTACTTCGTGTACAGGCAGGGTTTATACAGTCAAAAGTCGTTAATCCGGACTCATCGGGACTTCGGCGATTCCGGTTTATCGATTTTTTTCGGATTATAGATCATCAGTTTAAATCTCGTAAGATGGTATGCAGAAATTCTAAAATTAAAAATATGAAACTGTAATTTATGAAATAAAGAACAATTATGATCTAAAGGGCATCAAAATTTCCCCAAAAAAAGCTTAATATTTATTTGTGTACTTTATTTTAAGCATTTCTTTCTTTCAATGTAAGTTGTTTAAGTTGCTTCGTTTAATGTGATAATAATTTCTCTTTAATTCTATAAACAGACATAATTTATTGTTCAGTTACAAAGTTTCGCTGTTCAAGTCCCCTAATTGCTGTGCCGAGAATACTGACTAACTAGTCAATCGAAATTTTTTCGTTTTCACTAACCTCTCTGTCACCTTCTTCATGTCTTTATCCATTTTTTGCAGCAATTCCACTTTTTGTTTGATGGACATCGAAACATACTTTTGTTTTGTAGATCCTTTGGGAGCTCCAGCATCAGAAATTCTATTTGACATAATCGAAAGTTCAAGTTTACTTTTATAAAATTGCTCTTACAGTCTGAAAAAGGTAATAAGCCGGATCTAGTTCGAAGATTAAGGAACAACGCAATCATCAACATTAACTGAAATAGATAATTAAATAATTTTAGCTTATACGTCCGTTTTACATTAAACGCGCTCGCGAAAACGTATTCTGCACTTGCGCACACGCATATGCGCATCTGTCAACGCGGTGCATGCGCAGAAAGTTTTTAGCTTTGAGGTCCGAATTAAAGACTTTTGACTGTATAAAGAACGGGGTCAAAGACTAATGGAATCTTAGAAAGTACAAAGAATGTCATTCGAAACCTTCACACCTATTTTGTGTTTTACTGGATGGGGAGGGGAGGAAATTGTTGTGAAACTGGAAAAGTATTTCGGGCAGTTCGCTATTTTGAGGATACAGGTTAACGAAGGGTTTGGATTTCAAAGAGTTAAAGGTGCAATTTTCACTTTTTTCTGTGTTATAAATTAAATAATTTTAAGCATCTCAATATGTTTGGAGAATCTGGCAAAGTATTTTCACTTTTACGTTTCAAGCTTACTGTTTTGTTTACATTGAGCTTTCTTTATTTCGGCTTGGTGTACAAATTTCCTACGCTAATTTAACAGTTAATGATTCATTTTTCTGCACTTTTTTAATTCTGTTTAATAATCGAAAGTTTGAGAATGCCAAAATTTATACTTAGTCATTAAGAGAACGAAAATTTTATGTCAACCGATACACTAAGTGACTGCTGATTCTGGTAATCACAATGAAAATGAAACATTTGTCTGTGCTAGTGAGGCTAAATTATCTGGAACATTTATTGCAAATGAAAAAAGTAATTTTGATTTAAATGTTTTTTTTTCCATGATTTATGTTTGATGCTAAAGCAAAGTTTAAAGTTTATGAAATTAAACATATAACAATAGTAGCAATAAAAGCTCCCTGAGATAATATGTTGTGTAGACATTGAAGACAATAAAGAGGTTTCAAACTTAACCAATTTATTAACAATATAAAAAAGAATAAAACCACAAAAAATAAATTTAAACAATATCAGAGTCTTAGGAAAAAATATAATATAACCATCATTCATCAAATAATGTTTTTTTTACCTGGTCTCCAAAAATACTGGCATTCAATACAAACAAAATGTCCTAAACAGTAATTATGCGGCCTCAAATGAAATTGGCTACACATTCAATAAGTCCATGATAAATGGTCAAGAAAGCACCTGAAATTTAAATTAAGTCCTCTTGGCCCCATTCAGACGAGGGCGTCATAAGTGGTTAAAGCCGAACTCCGTTGCCAAGGCAACCAATCACTGCTACGTCACAGAAACTGGTTTAGGGCTCGTGGCATAGAGTTCCAGGTTTTCAACTTTACACCGAGTTTGGGATAAGCGTCGACCAATCAGAGCAAAGCTAAAACGAAGCGGCTTTCTTTGGACGATTTCGCTGTCACATCGAAGGCGACGTTTGTTTAATATGGAACACATCGTATCCGAACAAAATAAAGAGTTGTAATGGTATCCGAACAAAATAAAGAGTTGATCTCGCAAGAAATCTACGATGATGACATGCATTTTTTAATGAGTTTTTCAATTTATATTGAAAAATATGGATGAAACTCGTAAAGCAAAAGTTAAGCTCAGGATTATGCACTGCTGTGTGTATGATCTGTAGATGATTGATCCCATCCAATATTTTTCATTTTATTATGAAAAATTCTTTAAAAAATGCATGCTTGCAAAAAGTTAGTTTTTCTGTGTAAATTATTATTATTACTTTCTTTCTGTCTATAATTTTTTCCTGTTTAATTATTTTTGTATTTAAGAATAAATTTATTAAAAAAGCTGGAAATATTGTATTGGTATTTGTTTCAAACGCTGATTTTCTTTCCAAACAAACTTCATGAATTAATTTTACTAAAACATCAAATCAATATCAAGAATCTGCTGGTTTTTTTAACAGTAAAAATATTACTTTAAAAAAAAAAAGAAAAAATTATTTTCACTTATTTAAGAATAGTCACAATAGTCAATGGTGTAAGCTTTGTATGAGTAATAAAAGATTAATCTTTTGAGAAAATGCTCTTATGAATTCCATGAAAGAAAAGATGTAGTGAAATAACCTTAAAACAACAGTCAACAGTCTAGACAGTTTTGTCTCCTGTTGAAGTTCTGTTCTGTTTTTTAATTATGTTCTCCATGAAAGGAATTTACTTTTAATGAAACTAAATAGCACACATAATCCATAATATGAACTATATTTTTTATGAATAGTTAATGAATTTATTTATTAATTTAATGAATAGTATTTGTTATTAGTATCCACTCTTTATTACTATCATTTGTATGGAGTTTTGATCATTAAATTCATGCTATTTCTCTGGTAGAAATTCCTGGATAAGGTATGAATGCTTATAATTTTGATGTATTTGAAGACTCGGGTACCTAAAATTTGTCAATGTGAAATTACTTTTGAGATTTAATCGTAAATAGAAATGACAGCATATGTTGAAACTAAACTGCTATAAATAAAACTATTATTGCGGTTTATACATGCAAATTGTTAAAAATAGATGTATACAAACAGCTGGCAAGACAGCAAAATGTATTTAATGATTGAGCATAAAATACATTGTTGTGTGAATGTTTCCTAGTATTGTACTAGTTGTGGTTGCTGGTCATTGCGACCAGTTGTGGGATACTAGTACTAGTGATAATTGATACTGGTAGTGCAGCAAACTACTACAGTGAGTGAATAAGGCATGCTAAGCACACATTTCACTGTCACAGAAACATGCTCCTTTTGATTGAAAATTAAAATAATAATAATAAGAATGTATGGTAAGTACTGTTTTTAGCTTAACTGCTTTCACACCTGCAAAAGGGAAAAATGTTATATACAGGCTATCTGTTAGTTAATCCTCAAGATTTTTTTTAATTAGGCATATTTAGAATATGGTATTTCTCCTAAGAGGAATTATATATAAAAATTGAAGAAGGTTTTATATAGTATATAAATATGCTTGTGCATATTTATAGTATAGAGAATACTACGGTACAATGCAGAAATATTCCATACTGCTTTGCACACAAAGATATGTGCCAATCAAAGTATTGGATCTTTCAAAAAAATATCTCTAGACCATTTCGTTATTTTTCTTTTTTTTACCTTCTTCCGTTGCCTCTTGGCTTATAAGAAGGACAGATAAAAGAGCATTCTGTTGAACCAGTAAAACTTTTTGTTGAGCTGAAAAAGCCATGACACAAAATAACGAAAACGAGCAGAGCGAGCGTGAGAAATCAATCGAGCTAGAAAACAGTGCGCGAAAGGTGTAGACACATCCACGCATGCACAAATTTAGCTTCTCCCATTGGCCACAGCTTAGACCCCCGTCTCGTAGGTGTGAACGGATGTCCCGTATTTGATGCCCTTATGACTATGCCTCTATGCGCTTTACGCCCACATCTGAACGCAGCTTTAAAGCACTTAAATCCGGCCTAACTCCGCTTACATTAGTTGAACACGAGGAATCGCTGCTAACTTATTTTAAATGCCACCTTCATGAAGAACATGGATGCCGTCCACGGCAGTCACTCGCATTGTAGCTTCTGGAACCAAGGAACTTATTCTGGAAAGGTAATCTTGTATACAGGAACCAAGGAACTTATTCACCGGACTGCACGCATCCTTCTGAAATCTGATGGGGCTGGAAACCGCACACCCAATCAGCTATCGGCACGATTCTGCTTTCCAGATGACGTAACATCACATTTCGTTTTTGCATCTTAATTAGGTTGAAACAGTCCGTTCTCAACGCAAACAGTGGCAGTAAGAAAAAGAAGTAGCAGTAACTACTATATTACCTTAAAATAAGAACTAAGCTTAATAAACATTTCAAGGAGGAGAGATGATGTAAAAGGGTTACAATAAGTCATATTTTCCAACAATGTTCACGGCAACCATAACTCTTAAACGTTCATTATAGAATCACTTGAAATTTTACACACACGTTTTGTACATTATTACGTATAATGTAGACTATAAGTTAAAAAATTAATCCCATAGAATTTAATTTACATAATTTTTCCTTCAATAGCATGTGTATTTTTAAAAAAATAAAAAAACATTTTGAAAAACACCCTTAGAGCAAAGTCGGTTACCTTAACTGTGTGGATAGTTGTATTTGTATTTATTGGATAAACAAAATTTCTAATCAATTATTATGTGAAATTTCTTCCTTATTTTACTCTTGAAGTGTTTTGAAAAGTTAATGTTTTAACCATTTAATGTTTGCTGTTTCAGTTTGATCATCGTATACAAATTGTAGGGTTTACAAAATTGTTGATTGGTTTTAGCTGCTGCCAACATTTTAACTGTAATTTTCTTAACTAAGTGAAATCTGTTTATTACTAAATTCTAAATAAAAATTATGGTTAATAGTACAGTGAAATATATGCAAAATGGGATAAATTAAGAAGTTTGTTATAATTATATGTAGAAAATAGGTTCATGAGATTGCAAGCCGAGCACTATTGATTGCCATTTTCTCAGTTTTTACTTTAGGTGTTAATACAAACACTTTATTAAAGTGTAAATATATATTTAAAATTATTTGAATTTAAAAAATACTTTATATGTGTAATATACATATATAATGAAAGCACAACATATTTGAATACTTGATAACTTTTAGAATAATGAATTTGCAGATACTATTTTACAGAAATTCAACTGAGGAATAAATGTTCCATTGGGGTTAGTAGCACAAAATCGAAACCTGTAGGGCTAATAAATGTTATACAGTTAAAAGTCTTTAATCCGGACTCGTCGGGTTTTCCGTATTATCGATTTTTCCGTATTATAGATAATCGGTTTAAATCTGATAAGATGGCATGCAGAAATTATAAAATTAAAAATATGAAACAGTAATTAATGAAATAAAGAGCAATTATGATCTAAAGGGTATCAAAATTTACAAAAAAAAAAATCTTGATATTTATTTACTTTATTAAACATTTCTTTCAATGTAAGTTGTTTAAGTTGCTTCGTTTTTTATGTGATAATACATCCTCTTTAATTCTTACACAGACATAATCTCGATGTGTCGCCATCTTTATTTCTAGGCACATAAACAGTTATTTCTTTGGCAGACAAATTACTTTTCATCGATCATATTTGAATAAAAATAATTTTTATATATACAGATAAAAAGCCATGACGTCGGCACAGAGCTGTTTGCATTGCAGAAATCTGGAAAAAGAGGGAGCATAGTACTAGTGACTCAGCATTTATACCTCGTATGTGCAGAGAGCATTCTAAGCTATGATTGGTTAGCATTAGTTTTAGTAAGCTTTTTCTAGCAGTGTTACATAATTTGGGAGAACAGATGAATTTGGAGGGGGGAGAGCACCAAATCTAGAATGTTAATTTTGAGGTCGCCAATTATTTTTTAAAGCAGACATCATATTTTGTTATATATTGCATATATACAAACATATGTAGTGCGAATTTTGTATTTTAATTGGTTTCCCCTCCCCCCAAAAAATAATCAGTCAGTCAACCTCGCTACAAGATGTTCCCTCCTTCAGTTTTTGGAAATGTAGCTATTTCTTTAAGAATACATTCAAAATACTCATTCCTTCTAGTGATTTTGCAGAAAACTACTGTTTCTGCATAAACTTTGTCAGTCAACCTCGCTACAAGATGTTCCCTCCTTCAGTTTTTGGAAATGTAGCTATTTCTTTAAGAATACATTCAAAATACTCATTCCTTCTAGTGATTTTGCAGAAAACTACTGTTTCTGCATAAACTTTATTATGGTTTCTTCCATTACATACAGTTCCATTGAGTGTACAATTTTAAATTCATGATTTTTCTATAAAATCTATTGGAACTTAACTGTGATTGCACATCAAATATGGCAAGTTTGCTTGTCAAAATTAAAAAATTTGTATCTGCGGAGCTGTTAGATTTTAGGTTGTGAAAATTTGGCAACTGTTGTAAAAGTGGTTGTACTATGTGAGTAACATTGACTTTTAGGAGGCTCTTTGGTAACATGCTTCCATAGTTTTAAGAAGTTATATATGTATTCTTAATATTTAAAAATATTGCTATATATATTCTAGAGAGTAGTGTAAGATAATGATGCGTTCATATATAACATGAAACTTCTTTTTTTTTTTTTTTTTTTTAAATCCAGTGTAATTTCAATCATGCCGTTAATTTTGCAGGATGTAGGGATTTATTTATGGTTTAAATTTATATTTCTTATATTCTTTCATTTGCTTCACACTAATAACTAATGTAGATTAGATTTTTATATTGCTTATGTATTTTGTTAGAAATAACTATTCTTTTTACGTGATGGTAGTAGTCAAAATTTTAATTTCAGTTGCAATCCTCTCATAATCTTGGCTGTGGCTGAGAAATCTGTCTGCACTTATTGATCATGCACACAGTTATACTGACTAAGGTTATGATGCCTTGTTTTGTAGAATATTTAGTTTGGTCAAACAGTTATATCATTTCACTAAAAAGACTGCTGTGGTTAAATATCTAAAAATTTAAGTGTTATTTATTGGATTTAGATGCACATTTAAGTACATGTGGTAAATGTATGTAAACTTATTTTTGAAGCTGAATAAATTCCTATGCATTTTACATCTAAAAGTTATTTTTATATGTGTATGATTAGCACTAGTAATATTTTGTTACAGTTATGTGCATTACGAGTTACAGAAAGAGCTAGAGCTCGAATTTTGAAAGCTCGTGGAGAAATTATTACTTTTGATCAGCTGGCCATGCGTTCACCTCACGGGCAGAATACACTTTTACTACAAGGTGATTATATAATTTCCTTTTTGATTTATTTTGTATTGGTATTAATACTCAGATATTTTAACAATTCAATGCTGGTTTTATCTTCATAAATATATCTTTTTAATGTAGGCCGTAGAAAGGCAAGAGAAGCATGCAGACATTTTGGTAAAGCTCCTGGTGTTCCTCATAGCCACACCAAGTAAGTTTTGAGTTTAATTTTTGACCTAATAAGAACGAAGTTGTTCCGTGAGGCCTCGTTCAGACAAGGGCTTAAAGGGCATAAGTGGTTAAAGCCGAGCTCCGTTGCCAAGGCAACCAGTCACAGCTGTGTCACAGAATCTGGTTTAGGGCTCGTGGCATAGGGTTCTAAATTTTGAACTTTACGCCGAGTTTGGGATAAGCATCGACCAATCAGAGCGAAGTGGCTTTCTTTAGACGATTTCACTGTCCCATCGAAGGCGACTTTTTTTTACTATGGAACACATCGTATCTGAATGAGTTGTAATTGTATCCAAACAAAATAATGAGTTGTAATCGTATCTGAACAAAATAAAGAGTTGATCTCGCAAGAAATCTACGATGATGACATGCATTTTTAATGAGTTTTTTAATTTATATTGAAAAATATGGATGAAACTCATAAAGCGAAAGTTAAGCTCAGGATTATGCATGCTGTGTATGATCCTGTAGATCAGTGTTTCTTAACCTGTGGTTCATGGACCCCTTGGGGGTCCGTCGACTGCTCCTAATTTTTAAAATGTTTGCATCAATATTTTAAAAATAACTTTTTTTTGTCATGGGCAACCTCTCTAAGCCGCCTGTCTGCCATTTCCCAATAATAGAGACCTCCACGATACGAGGAAAAGAACATTCGCAAACCATATAAAATTTGAAATTTTTAGAAACACAAAGTAGCCTTTGAATTTTACTTCACTTGGAAATAAAGTGACGTTAAAATCAGTTCCGCAAAGTTCTTGCAAATTTTTAAAACAAAATATTTGTTTTACTTTTTCATAAGTTGTAATTAAAGTTTTTCAAGTTTTTTTTTTTTTTTCTTTTTTTCTTTTCTTTTCTGTTGTTGTTGCCCAAAATGTCCAAAAAAAGGAAATTTGATGAAAATTATGTAAAATATGGATTCTGCTTCATGAAGGAATCGGACGGTGTTAAAAAGCCACAATACTTTCTGCGTGGAAAAGTTTTGGCAAATGCCAGTATGAAACCGGCAGAATTTATAGAGCATCTCAAATCATCCTAAAAATGCATCTAAAGATCTAGAATTTTTTACAAAGAAGAAAGCCCAGTTTTCGAAATCTGGAACATTAACCAAGCTTGGATTTGGTATTTCACGAAAACCTTTGGTTGAGACATCTTTCAGAGTTGCCTATCGTATTGCCAAAAGTAAGAAACCGCATACTATTGGAGAGAGATTAATTAAGCCATGTGCGCTAGAAATGGTTGAATAGTTTTGTGGACTGGAACAGAGGAAAAAAACTTGAGGCTATTCCATTGTCCAAGGATGTGATACATTTCAAGAATAGTTAAAATTTCTTGTAATATCTTGAAACAGATCATCGGTGAATTGAAAGCATCGCCATTTCCCTTTAGTATGCAACTGGTTGAAACTACAGACATCTCGAATTGTAGTCAAACTTTCTTGTTTTCTGTTCGTTACGTGTCTGCTGATACTATGAAAGAAGAATTCTTTTTTTCTTTTTTTGTGAGCCTCTTTTGCAAACTACAAAGGCAGTTAGTTGATGTTTTAGCGATTTTAAATGTTTTCTTTTCCAAACACGACTTTCGACTGGAAACAAAATATTCATTCACTTTGTACGGATGGAGCACCTGCGATGCTTGGCAATAAATCTACTTTTGCCCATTTGGTAAAAAAAAAGAGGCTCCTAATGTTATTGTTACACATTGTTTTTTACATAGACATGCACTGGCTACAAAAACTCTTCCAACCAGCTTAAAAAGAACTATTGTCAATAGTTATTAAAACTGTGAATTTTGTTAGAAGTAGAGCTCTTAATCATAGTCTTTTTAAAACACTGTTAAGAAATGACCGCAGAACATGAGGTACTTCTGAACGCTGGAATTGCGCTGGCTGTCACGAGGGCAGGTTTACAAACGAATTTTCACGTTGAAGACAGAAGTATCACTTTTTTTAGAAGAAAACGATAACTCGCTCTTCGAATATTTCAAGAAGAAAGATTTTATATGTAAATTGGCTTACCTGGCAGACATTTTTAACCAAATGAATGATATACGTCTTTCAATTCAAGGGCCTGATACAACAATTATGGATGCCACTGAGAAACTACATGCATTTTTATTGAAAATGTCACTTTGGAAAATTAGAATTCAAAATGGGATATATGCAAACTTTCAAATGTTCGACGAAGTGCTTTTTGAAAATGGATCTCGGAAAGATAGTTTGTTATTGAATAACTTGAAAAATGAAATCTGTGAACACCTGGAAGTTTCATTTGAAAAATATTTCAATTCGGATGGAATAAATATAAAAGATGAGTTGTGGATTCATAATCCTTTTCTTGTGATATTGACTGTATCGATGACATGAACCTTGCCAAAAGATGAGCTAATTGATTTGAAAACAAAGTCCCTTGTTAAAATGGATTTCGATTCTAAAACTCTTAAAAAAGTTTTTGGTCTTCTTTAGAGAAGCCTACCCTTGCTTGTAAAACTAGCTATGGCAGCCATTATTCCGTTTGCTACAGTATATCTTTCCGAAGCGGGATTTTCTACACTTGTCACAATAAAAACAAAACATCGAAATAGACTGAATGTCAAACATGATATGCGTGTTGCTTTGTCGAAAACCATCCTCAATTTAATCTGTTAATCAAGGAAAAGCAGCAACAGCCTTCACATTAAAAATTTTAATTCTTCAAATTTTTCATACTATTGAAATAAAAATATTAAAATAATAAAACAGAGTATATTTTGTAATAAATGATGTTTAAGCAATTTTTTTCAGAGGGGTCCGTGACATATTTAAAATTTTTAAAGCTGTTCATTGTGCCAAGAAGGTTAAGAAACACTGCTGTAGATGATTGATCCCATCCAATATTTTTCATTTTATAATGAAAATGCTTTAAAAAATGCATACTTGCAAAAATTTTATTTTTTCTGTGTAAATTATTATTATTTCTTTCTTTCTGTCTATAATTTTTTAAAAATTATTACTTTAATTTTTTTTTCCTGTTTAATTATTTTTGTATTTAAGAATAAATTTATTAAAAAGCTGGAAATATTGTATTGGTATTTTGCTTCAAACGCTGATTTTTCTTTCCAAAAACAAACTTCATGAATTAATTTTACTAAAACATCAAAATCAATATCAAGAATCTGCTTTTTTTTAACAGTAAAAATATTACTTTTTAAAAAAAAGAAATTATTTTCACTTATTTAAGAATAGTCCACAATAGTCAATTCAATGGTGTACCTTTGTATAAGTAATAAAAGATTGAGCATAAAATATATTTTTGGTTGAACGTTTCATAGTACTGTACATAGTTTGGTTGTCGTTATTGGTCATAGTGACCAGTTGTGGGATACTAGCACTGAGTGATAATTGATACTGGTAGTGCAGCCAACTACTGTAGTGATCGACAGGACAGTGAATAAGGAGTACTAAGCACACATGTTTCACTGTCACAGAAACATGTTCCTTTTGATTGAAAAATTAAAAAAATAATAATAATAATGTATGGGTAAGTACTGTTTTTAGCTTAACTGCTTTCATACTGCAAAAATAGAAAAATATTATATACATGATATCTGTTAGTTATCCTCAAGATTTTTTTTGTAATTAGGCATATTTAGAATATCGTATTTCTCCTAAGACAAATTATATATAAAAATGGAAGAAGGTTTTATATAGTATGTAAATATGCATGTGCATGTTTATAGTATAGAGTACTACAGTACAATGCAGAAATATTCCATATTGTTTTGTACATAAAGATATGTCCAACCAAGTATTGGTCTTTCAAAAAAATATCTCTTGACCATTTCGTTATTTTTCTTTTTCTACCTTCCTTCCGTTGCCTCTTGGCTAATGAAAAGGGCAGATGAAAGATCATTCTGTTGAGCCAGTAAAAGTTTGTGGCGAGCTGAAAAAGCCATGACACAACGAAAAAAACAAGCAGAGCGAACGCGGGAAATCAGTCAAGCAGGAGAACAACGCGGGAAAGTTGTAAACATTCCACGCATGCACAAATTTAGCTTCTCTCATTGGCCATGGCTTACACCTCGTTCTCGCAGGTGTGAACGGGTCTCCCGTATTTTATGCCCTTATGACTATGCCTCTATGCGCACGTCTGAAGCACCTTAAGTCATACTATTCTTTATTACTCTGTGCCGAAGCATTTTTGTAAAAATGTAACATTGTCAAGTTTGAGTTAACATGCCAAATAACTATTATTGAAAGTTTTAAAACAAGAGCAAACAGCTTAATATTGATAAGTTTGAGGAACAAGTTTCTAAATTTAAATCTGATGGAAAAGGAAAAACTAATAGTGAAGGATTTTTATGGATGTAAAATGCCTCTAGGAAATCTAATTCGGCAACAAAAGATGCTTTCTAAATAATTTCAACTGCGGGAAAATGGAAAGTGCAATTCTCTGACCAACACTATTGATGTTTCTTTTTTCCTAACCAAATGCCTGATATTCCATAACAAAAAATGTTAAGGCTGTCTTACCAATGTAAACTAAAGCACAATGGTCATGAGTGCATATCTGGAATGAGGTGTTAAGTATGGAACTGCGAATTTTACTGGTAGAAAACTGCCCGAAAGTATAATGCAGTTTTGTATCTAATCGATGGAAGAAAACTAATGATAAAGACTTCTTATATTCTGTTTTAAAATGTTTTTTTTTTTTTTTTTTTTTTTTTTTTTTTTTTAAATGTATTGAGATCAGAATTTTTCAACCACTTTTGCCTCCAGTTTTTAGAAGTTGGAATCCAAAGAGAATAATTATCCCAAACATCAATTTTGCCCAGGTTAAAAAAGGGATAGTTAGGAAAATAAAAACTTCATTCTTGTTTAAATTAGCTCAAGACGGTTAAAAAAACTTCTGTAATTTTGATAAGAATAACAGCCTCTACTGACGGGCTTTGCACCCAACATTATTAATCAAGCAGTTTTAAAAAATTCTCATCTCAACACACTAAAAGGCACACTCTTGTTTTAGCAGATATTCTGTTGTCGTTCCCTTCTTTCCATCAATTAGCTATAAAGTTGCACATATTTTGCAGAAATTTAACTTTTGGGTTGTTTATTCTCCCATCAATAAAATTCCGAGTTCCATACTCCAAGACCCCATTCTGTATATGAATTCCTGGGGTATTTATAGGATTCCTTGCCAGTGTGGTATTACATTGGCCAAACTGGTATTGAATTCCTGGGGTATATAGGATTCCTTGCCAGTGTGGTATTACATTGGCCAACTAAGAGAGCCTTAAAATTTCGCGTCAAGGAACATGAGTCATATGTTAGAAAAAAGGAAACACAGAAGTCTTCTGTTGCTCAACATTGTTGGTCCAAAAATCACACTTTCAATTTTTCTTTTTCTGCTGCTGCCAAAATTATTCAAAAAACATCTTCCATTCGAGAAATGGATTTTCTAGAAGCATTTCACATTAAAAAAAAACCTTTCTGTTCTAGTTAATGATCCTAATTCCAATCCATCTTTGCCTTTGGCCTTTAAAGAAATTATGTTTTAGTTCTGGTTTCATCAACAGATGGCGCCACTTGCTTATTCTTGTCCAGGCTTTCTTTATCATATCTAATCATTATTTTCCTATCTCGTTCATTTGCGTTTTTGCAGCTGAGGATGGTGGTTCAGTAAAACCATCAAAATTAGTCCTGTGAAATTTAAAAATATAACTTTTTTTTTTTTTTTCTTCTGAATTAGCCATTATTTTTTTATCGTAAATTAAAATGCTCTAGCTAATAATCAAAATGAATTACGATTTGTATTACTTAATGAGTTTGTCATAAAATGCATGTATTTATTTCTCTTTTAGGCCATATGTCAGATCCAAGGGACGCAAGTTTGAAAGAGCCCGTGGCCGCAGGAAGAGTCGTGGCTTCAAAGTGTAATTCCATGTGAACGATAAAATAAAGAATATCGTGTATTTAAAAAGATATCTGCAGTTTGTCATTCTTTGTTAATTATTAATTCTTTCTGGTATGATTTAATGAAAAAAAATTTTTTGCATCAATACCAATAATTTTTTATTGAAAGACTTCTGAATTTTAGTCACATGGCAAGTGTAGTTCATCATTATATATTGGGTCATAGAAAAAAGTCTGTGTGCTTTTTTGGTACATTTTTGAACAAAATTTTTCTTTATTGAAAATCAATTTTAATCAAATACACATTGACAATTATTATCTATAATCTTTTGCCATTTTCCGAGTAGCTTCATAATTCCAGCGGTGTAAAACTTCTGTAATATCGTGGAAAAATTTGGCTGAGTGATTTTTCAGTGGCTCTTCGGCCAGCGAATTTTTTACGATCAAGAGTTTTGCAGAGACCGAATAAAATAGTAGTCAGATTGTGCAAGGTTCATGCTATATATGGTGGATGCATCAAAACTTCCCAGTCAAGTTCTGTTGATTTGTTTTAAGTTATCAGAGATGTGTGGCTGCGCATTGTCATGGTGGAACACAACTTCCTTTCTTTTGGCCAATTCTGGTCGCTCTTTCTAAACTGCTTCGTTTAAACGGTCGAGTTGTGCACAGTAGAGGGCTGAATTGATGGTTTTGCCAGGTTGCAATTTATGTGGCACCTAAACATTGAGCTTCTTTCTGTAACCTGCTCTTTTCAAAAGATTCTAAACTGTCATATGGTTGATGTTTAGTTCCTCTGCTATTTCCTGACAGCTTACGTGTCGGTCTTGCTCCACTAGTTGCAAAATTTCATCAACCTTTTTCAGTGACTAGCCGACCAGAGTAAGATGCATCTTTGATATCAGAATCGCATAACATATTTCTTCAGGTATTTCACTCATTTTCAAATCAATATAACATTTTACACAAGCAAAGAATTAGAAAACTATTCTCACGAACAGTGGAAGCTGAATGTCATATTCTAAGCACGTGTTCGTTGGAGATGATTGGGTGAGTGTTGCCGGATATATAGGCGTCAACAATATCTAGTGGCAAAAAATGTGGAGACTTTATGTGACCCAATAGTATGGCATGAAAACCTGATGACGAGTTATACTTGTAATTTTGGTGCAAGAAGTTAAAGGCAAACAGTGTCTGAATAAAGTATGACAAACCAAGAAGAAATGCGTTGCACCATTAGTTAATAGTGTTCTAGCTGAAAAAAGCTAGTGAATAAACCTTTTCTTTCAGCTTGTTTAAATAAGTAGAGCCTATCAGTTACTAATAAGTTTTTATCTTTGTGCAATTAGTATGGAAAATTTAAAATTGAAATTTGTTTTAGATATAAAACTGAACACTTCAGTAGCCTTTCTTTTTACAGAAATTAAATTTCACAAAAATTATATACAAGATCCTGAAAGCAAACCTGATTAAGTATGTCTTCTTTGTTTTATCATAACAAATCCACTAACGATAACCGTTAAACGCCTTAAATTATATGCCAAAGGGTGATCAAAATTATAAATTCAAAGTGCTCTGTAAATATGGGGATTTTCCAAACTAGAACTGTAGTGGCCTAGTTATTGCATGAGAAATAATTATTTTTTATTTCATATATTTGTTCATGTATTTAATTATTTTATAAAATTAACTTTAATATTTTGTTGATATTCATATTTATATTTCTTTTATTCTGAATGGCAACAAGTAGTCCATATTTATATTTAAATTTCTTTATGCTGAATGGCAACTAGTTCTGATTCATGATTGCTTGATTTTGGTTTCCAAACGTTGCTATTCTAGTAGCATCGCATTTCGATAGCTGGAAAATAAAAAGCAATGTGATTATAATTCATGCTGTTCCTAATCATAAATTAATTTTAAACATTAGTAGCCAAGGCCACATCGTGGTAACCCTGATTAATTTTCGAAGTGTCAACAAATGACTTCTGAAACTGCTATGAAAGGTACGATGCAGTCACCGAAGCTTCATAAGGCGAGTGTAAAAATACCTCCTTTTTTGGACTGATAAACCAGAAATATGGTTTTTTTCAAGTTGAAGCTCAGTTCAGAATTAGTATTGTGAATGAGAGCACATACGTATCCAGAAACATCGTTCTCCAGTGGGCATCGAGCTCCACTGCGTGTCATCTGGCATATATTAGCCAATGAGGGCAAATCAAGCTGTGATTTGGATGTTCTTTAGTTATTTCGTTCATTTATCGTGGGTTGTGTGAGTACTTGTGCCTTCGGGAAATAATTTTGAAATTATCATCTTTTGTAATGCCTGCGAGAAAGGTGAAATACTCGTGTGTGTTTCAAAAATCGTACACAGTTGACTTTCCTTCCATAATTTCCTCAAGGAAATGTAATAAATTTGCGATCTGTACTGCCTGTTGTTGCGATTTCGATGGTGGAAGGGCGGATGTTCTCGAACATGTGCTTATAGAAAAACACAAGGACAGCATAAGTTGTTTTGAAAAAAAAAAAACGGAAAAATTAAATTTTTCTTCGGAAATAAAGGACCAAAAAGTGATTAATGCAGAATGTCTGTTCTCTGACTTTTCACTGTAGCACAACCTGCCACTAAATGCATTGGATTATGCTGCAGCTTTATTTAGAAAAATGTTTCCCGGTGGTGAGATAGCTAAAAAATACTCAAGTGTAAGGATCAAAACAGAAAACAGGTGCAATTGTTAAAGAAATGGGTTTGAAAAATAAATCTTCAGTTATTGATTGCATTAAAACAACTCAGTTCTGCATCTCAACGGATGGAAGCAATAATGCCGATTCAAAACTGTATTCAATTATTGTTTCTTTTTTTTAATCCAGAGTCTTCAGAAATTGAGTGCAGTACTTCCTATCCCCCACTTCAGAAGGACATTCGACAGGCTTTAATATAGCACAGCTAATTATTAAAACTAAAAGAAAATGCAGTCCCTCTGGATAATTGCTTGCACTTGGTGCCGATAAAGTAACAGTAATGGTAGGCTTGAAGACTGGTGTTGCAGGCATCTTAAGAAAGGAAAATTCAGATTTGCAGATTATAATTATAAGGTGCACCTGTCACCTCTTAAATTTAGCAGCTGAAAAGGGGGCAGTTTTTTTACCAATAAATGTGGATGAACACATTGTTGATATTTATTATCTTGAAAGGAGTTCTAAAAGGAAGGGAAAATTGAAACAGTTCCAACCTCTGCATAATATTGAAATGAGAAAAATTTTGAAACGTGTGTACACACTGGCTGTCTTTAAAGAAATGCTTATCTAGAATCCGATCAATGGAACCCACTTCTTGCATTTTTTAAAGAAGAAGTAAATGCTTCAAGAGTTTAGATAAAAGGCTCTATTGAAAGTTATAAAATATCTAAAGTAAATGGAGATGTAGTTACTACTTCCATTGTTAAAAAGAGGTTTGAAAAAAAAGTAATTTCTGCACCATTCAGCAATTCAGCGGCAGTTCTCAAAATAATACTGCAAAATATAAGCGTAAAGCTGATACAAATTTCTCTCAAAATTAAAAAATTGCTCAACACGCGAAACATTTTCCGATTACTGTAAGTTTATCTTGTGAAGAACGAATATTTATGTTTTTTTCTTCGTACCTTAACAAAGCTTTTTGCTTTTTATTACAATTCATTTTGCCATCATTCGATGTTCTTAACACAGTTCTACAAAGCAGAATTCTATTAATTCATGTTTTGCAATCAATGATTTATAATCTGTTTAAAGACATTTTATCAAAGTTTGTAAAACCAGTCTGTGTTTTTGTCTTGTAATTCTATATATGATGTGATTTATGGTGAAATAGAAAATCAGAAGAAAAATGAAGATTTGGTAAGAGGAGCTGCAACTACAAAAGTAGTGGAAGAGCTTTCAGAAGAAGACAAAAATAAGTTTTATCTTCAAGTTAGAAGTTACTTCTGTCGTATGGGATTACATACTACATAAATTTCCAGTGAACAAGAAAGGGATTTTGCATGCTAAAGTTGCCGATGTTTCTGCTCTAGCAAATGCATCTTTTTCTTATATAAGGTACTTTTTGAACAGATTTCCTGTGTTACTTCATTTAGTCATGAAAGATGATGGTATTGATGTTGCCACTGATCTGCAGTCACAATTTTGCAGTTTACAATTAGAAGAATTGGATGAAGTTATAAAATCAGCTAGGATTGATACCCAGTGGAGTTTAATTGGAAAACTGAAAGGTGCTGATGGAATTTTAAAATATAGTGAACTGTCTAGAATTATGTTGGCCATCTTGACAGTTCCCCATAGTAATGTGGAGTGTGAGAGGATTTTCAGTGTTGCAAAAATGAGGACTAAATTTAGATCTAATATTAGTGATGACACATTAGAAAAACTTTTATTAGCGAAAGCAAGCCTATGTGGCAATTGCTGTGAACAAAATTAGGAAGTTTCTTTCTTAACGAAAGCAAAATCTGCCACTCTTCATGACATTTGTAAGTTTCCGTAAAAAGTGTTTTTTTTTTTTTTTTTTTTTTTTTAACGATGCAAGTAATAAAAATGTTTTTTATGTGTAAAGTATTTTTGTGCTGCCTGCATTTAAGATTTAGTAACTGTTTAAAGTTAATTCATTATTAAAAACTATATTTTTATCATTTAAAAAGTCTTTTTTAACATTGTGAAAAATCTGATTTTTGTGAATGTCATAGGTTGGCAAGTATGCATACATAGTGTTGCACATTTTATTATGACTGATTGTCAACCCGTTTATTCAAAGGCACGACAGCTCGATCCAAAATGCTTAGCTATAGCTAAAGAGGTGTGTGTGTGTATTTAATTATGGCAAAACACACTAGGGCTATCTGCCTAAGGGAAGGGATGCCTTCGACGAGGACTTTCTAAGGGAAACTGACTCGTATAAACGTTACACATGGGGAAAACCACGAAAACGCCCATGCAGCCAGCCCGTTCGCGGGATTCGAACCTTGGACCGAACTACCAGTGTTCAGCAACTTTACCGCTCGGTCGCTGGTGGGCCATAGCTTAAGAGGAATTTAAATTTATGC